AGCAGGTATTTATAGGCTGCTGCCCCTTTAAGACCAAATGCACGGATCCAATATAATGATGCACTTGAGATTTCTTTCACTGTTTACGTTCACTTAAGACATAGCCAACTGTGTTTACGAGAATACTTGGCGAGACAGTTATTTTGAGATAATTTTGTGTGTATGTGTTCATTCAGATGCAAGGATATGCGAAAGAGGAATCAATTGACCATATGCACGATTACTTCCTGGTTTTAGATAAGCCAGCTCAGTCATTTCCGGTTAACTGTACTGTGCCTTAAGGGAGCGCCCTTTGCTCGGTTTCTCTACATAATCCATTCACAATTTGGAGAAAAGTTTTGTTTGTCTAAGAGAACCAAATGTCCACATATACCGCTTCAGGAATGACAAACACGAATGTTAAATTTACACGAGTGAATCCGTTAAATCATGCCGCGAGTCATTGCTATGATTGACAGTGGCAACGGAATGAATCATCTGGCCAGCCGACCTCAAAATAGAGCTGTGCATTAAGTGATTGAGACTACATTCAGACTAACAAAACTACAGCAGCAACAAGTCTGTGTTGGATAAAACCTAAACGATGTAGTTAAATTATTAAATTTAAACATTTCAAAATATTGAATGCACTATTTAATTCTTATACTTATTTAATTTGTATTTAACTATGTAGGTATTTAAATAATTCCGCAGAACCAAATGTCCACATATACCGCTTCAGGAATGACAAACACGAATGTTAAATTTACACGAGTGAATCCGTTAAATCATGCCGCGAGTCATTGCTATGATTGACAGTGGCAACGGAATGAATCATCTGGCCAGCCGACCTCAAAATAGAGCTGTGCATTAAGTGATTGAGACTACATTCAGACTAACAAAACTACAGCAGCAACAAGTCTGTGTTGGATAAAACCTAAACGATGTAGTTAAATTATTAAATTTAAACATTTCAAAATATTGAATGCACTATTTAATTCTTATGCTTATTTAATGTGTATTTAACTAGGTATTTAAATAATTCTGCATTATAGGCTGTTGTCTGGCCTTATTTATTTATTTTTATTTATATGTGACTTTGTGACTTCTTGCACTTTATATTCAGTGCGATAAAGTACAAAAAATTGTTGTAATATTTATTTTATTATAAATCAAAAAGCAAGACATGAAAAAAAAAAACAGGGAGTTGAAATGGCAGCTGCAGCCAATGAGCCCAAGGGCAAAGTGAGATCACTTGCATTTTTTTCAGTGGAAACAACTTTAAATAGCCTATGCTTAATTTTTGCTCATAAAGAGTAATACATGATTCGGAACTGCAAAGTGTCTACTTTTTTTGTGTGCACACAATATCAACAAAACGTTGTGCTTTTATACTGCCGTTTCGGTCTTGAAAAGGATGCCGGGACACTTAAACACCGTCGAGCCGCTCTTGGACAGTCGTGGCAGCACGGTCTCCTGTTGATTCCACCAACGCGGCACTTTTTTTCATCACTAATTGATGGATGGCTAAGATATTAAAATAAGGAGAAGCCTAAAACATGAATGAAAAGTGAACCTTTAATAAAGTTAATTTTACTGATGAGAGTCGCGGGCTGTTGCCCCCCCTTCCATCCTCTTCCCTCGCATAAGAAAGCGATTGCATGCTTTCGCGAGTGTCTGCAATGGCACGCGATCACAGATTGCACGCTTCCCGCCCGAATCTGGTGTAACTGGTGTAAACTAGTAGGTGTGTTTGACTTGACACGGACTGACTGTGCAGTCATTATACATCATTATACATTATACATACATCATTGGTGTATTACAGTACCACGAGAGCTATAGAGAGCAGACTGCTCCGTACGCTTTTGAATCGCTCTCGCGGATGTCAAACACATATCGATCTGCGCTGCGCTGCGCTGCGCTGCTTCTAGTCGAACACACCTAGTGCTGCAGGCTTATTGGCCCACGGACATTGATGAGATTAACCCCTTAGGTATCGAAATTTGGTACCGAACGACGAGATGTTTTTCAATACTCGATGGTATCGAGGCAATTCGGTCGGTGCCTAAAAAGTATCGAACTCGATACCCAGCCCTACCGCTGATTGGCCATAGTGTTCACCCGCCTCAGCTGATATGACTGTGATTGGCTACAATGATCATCGCTTCACGCTCTTCACCGACCGCTCAAAAGAAGCACATAGGAGTGTTTGAAAGCCGCGTCTATTAGCGGAACCCTAATATATCTAGACATAGACGGATCCGCGCTGATAACACTACAAGGTACAAGCACAAAAACACACTCAGCAAAATATCGTTTAATTATCACTATCGAAAATATCCCAATAAATATCTTTCTTTTTTTTTTGTCAATCTCGCACACACCTACATTCTTGCCTGCTCTTAAACTACATTCTGTCACACAACAACAGTAGTATTTGTAAAAATTATAGTGGATTTGCTCCTCCCATGATGCTCATTGGGACAAATGGTGTAAGCAGTAGTGATAGGAATGGTGAAACTGTTCCCATGCTGATACTAGTAGATGGAAAGACCTCAGCCAATCAGATTCAAGGACCAGACGTAACTGTATTATAATTGTAAACAATCCATTATTTACAATTATACTACATGTATAATATATCCATGTGGCCTTTGAGCATTCATTTTATAAACATGGCTTTAAAACAAGTAACCCAATGAAGATCAGACATAAATGCTTTTTAGAGTGAACATGCACAAATATCTGCATGGAAACATTTGAAAAAGACTTTCTGTCAGCCTAGTGTACCAAGTTTGGTACTGAAGTATCAGTACTTTTGACATCTCTACTTAGGGCATAGAAATGGTTATTCTCAACTTCTTAACTACAGTGCAGTGAGTTCCTTGCTTTAAGAATTGTCTGGCATTGTCAGATGTTTTCATTTAATATTTCCAGAAGATTAAAATATTTAGTAAAAATACTTAGAAGCATTTAATATTTTATCAGATAGAATAGGGATGTTTAGGAAGGAATGAGTTAATGCAGGCCAATCATATATATATATATATATATATTTATTTATTTATTTTTTTTTTAAAAGCTGAATTTGTCTTTATTTTTTTATATTGTATATTTACTTTTCATGTTTGACTTTTTTTTTCCATGTAAAACCATTTTATAAATGCAAAGGGAGAGATTGAGGGATAGGTAAAACCGAATTCATAAATGAACCAACTACTGACCCAAGTGTTATTCCTTCTCATTATATTGCACAGACATTGCAAAAAGACCGAAATGGTCAGAAGTTTGTTAGATTTGGGGGTGATTTTCCAAATGCTAATTAAAACATGTTCAGGACCAAAAAGGAATCCATAGGATCATAATTCTTATTAAGGCACTATTCAAAGGCTAGAATCTTTGAATCTGTATCTTCGAATATCAGTGTCACGCAGACAAAACATAATCTTATGCCCATCTGACAAAATGGCAAACATTTGACATTAAAACTATATGTAGAATGTAATATGACTAATCATCTAGTCCAAGTATCTTTTATCCATTTAGCATGTTGGTTCATGTCTGAATTCTCATTTAAGTGCACACACTGCATTTGGAGATAAATATGCGCTGAACTTTTTTCTTAATGAACTATGCTTTTCTGGTTTTAGCTGCCACTTGAAATGGAGATCAACTGCATTGCCTCCAGTACTTTTAACATGACAGTTCTTCAAAAAAGCATCATGTTGGATAAATAGTGTTAAACTTGTATCATTGTTTAATTTTGTTCACAAAAATTATCTGTAAGAAAAAAAAAGGTTCAGAACTTTACTATTTCCTGTTGCAGTGTGTGAAAAATCAACTTTTTGGGCCTTTCCTAAAACTAGCTTATAGAATAAAAGGGAAAGTCTTTGAAATTTAAGAACATAGTTAACATTAGTATAACAATGCTAATTAGATCATTCCAGACCTGACTAATCTTATTTTTTTGTTTTTTTTTAACCACTGTGCAGCTTGAGGAATGCAAATGGTTTGACTGCAGCAGATCTGGCCCATGCTCAAGGCTTCCATGATTGCACTCAGCTCCTCTCTAATGCACATAACCAGCTAAATCAGACAAATGTATTTGCCCATAATGGGACCGACCACTCGCACACTCAGGGCCGCAGTCTTCTGAATGGGATGGCCAATAGAAAAAGATTACTTGATTGCACAGAGCCAAACCAACTGAAAAAAGCAAGAACTGAGAGTAAGTCTGTTTTGTAGTGCATTTAATCACATGTGTTTGTGCACAAATCCAACACTAAATCAAGGGAAAAAAAAATTTCTGACTATATTGCTTGTTTTCCATTCAGGCATGAATTTTTCAGTGAAGACAAACAATGAAATTGGAGAGGAGCTTGAGAGTATGAATGTGGAATCAACTGCTGAAAACCAATCAGGTGGGACTGGACCTTCTCCACCAATGTCAGTTGACCTTGAACATCATGAGGACAGTGTTTCTTTGAGGAACCCCTCTCCCACCCAAAAAATGGTGGAGTCCACATCTATGACTTCTGTTCCTGGCCCCTGGCTATGGACGAATTCTTACGCTTATTTATGAGGGCCAAGTTATCCACAAGTTTCCCCAGGTTTATCAACAAGCTGTCAATGCAAATGATTTGGCTAGTATATTTTTATTGGATTTTTTCAGTCTGCTGAAACTTCTGCAATCTATTATTTTCAAAGTATGCACAAACTTGACTTAAATAACAGACTTTTCCAGTACTTGCAAAAACACACCAGCTAAAAAATTATACAGAAATACATGTATGGGAGTTGCTAGTTTTCTTTGCTTTATTTCCATGAACCTTTGCCATATAATCTGTATAGGGTTATTCTGAATCAGTTTAGTAAAAGTAGCTTACTGTTAGCTTAATATAGTACAGTTGGCTTGTATGTAATAGTTATATTTTCTGATTCCTCCAGCAATATATTTCACAATGAAAGCATTAACTGATTTTAGGATATTTCATGAAGATGTCCTATTTACAAATGAATGAATGCATTGGTTAATATTTTACGAAGTAATTGTGCTTCTATACTTTTATATAAACTATTTTAAAGATATTTAAAGATTTCTTGTGTAATCTTGTTTATTTGAAACACTGAAGCGTCTTTTAGGCTATTTTACTTATTTGATGGTAGTTATGGTTTCTAAAAAACCATAACCATATGGTTTCTTTTTTCTTATTGCTGACTTTTGCAGTTAGGTGTTTAAACTCTCTCCCTTGTGACCATTTGGAAGAGTACACTCTGTGTGTTGACATGCAATAATAGATAATTAAAAACAAGATGATATACTGTACACTTGAAGTATGAGCAAAAAAGCTCTCATACTGAAAATGAAATGCAGTTTATCAATCGACAAGAATGTATTGGGTACAAATGTTTTGTTACTCTGGTCTGGCCCAAGTTCTTGTGTAATCAAGACCATTTGCTCATCACTTTCTGACGCTTGTCTTGTTTTGAATGACAGATGAAGCCATAGCCACAGGTTTGAGGAATGGTCATGGGCAGCAGAACAGTTTCACTGTCAACCGCTTCGCCACAAATGGGCAGTGCTATCAGTCCCATTTCAGTGGGGTTGAGACCATCCCAGCTGAGTCAAGAATGGACATGTGCGGCTCACTGCACCTCAATGGAAGCCCAAGCAGCTGTGTATCTCACCGGCCTGCATGGGGTGCCTTCCTGCCTGACTCCGGTGAGCATCTGCACTATGGACACTACCATGGCTTCGGAGATACGGCAGAGGACCTGGAAGATGCTAGCAGCTGTCAAGAGCACAGCACGATCGTGAAGGTGGAGCAGCACTACGACCAAGAGGTTCTCAGTGCTGTGCAGCTGTTCCATGGATCCTAAAGTGAAAATGAGTTCCATCCATTTGATGACAAGTGGTCACATTGATGGCAGTACTATCCGCCTTAAACTGAGGGGTTATCTTGCACCTCAATGCAGGCTGTTTTGTTTTTGGATTTGGGGAATTTGTTTTTGATAAAAGTGGACAATCTTTCTACCAAAGGGAAAAAATTGTATTGCATTTTGTATCTGAGCTAATGACTTTATTATACATACGTGTTTGAACTCAGCCTAGATATCTGGGTGCATTTCTTTTTCCCCTTTAATGCAATGTTAGAATGTTAATTTGTACAAGGAGTTGATTTTTATGTGAATCAACTGTGAGTTTGTAGTTTTGTGCCAATGAATACTAGCTTTTTGAAAAAGGAGTCTTTTGTATGATTGTATTCTTGTGAGTTTTTTCCTGAGAAGCAAAGCTGACATGCTGACTGTAAAACAGTGTTTTTTAAAAAAAAAAAAGAAAGCTTAAGATGTATAACATTCCTTCATCTTTGTACCGTGTTCTAATAAAAAATAAAAAAATAAAACTCAAGAAGCTCCTTTCATTGCCACCTGAAGACAGTTCTCCTATACAGTATAGCTGATTCGTATTAAGTAAAGATGTATTAATGGCTGTTCATTTTGAAAGTAAAAGTGTTAAAAGTTTCTCAGTTTTTCTTAAATCTACTTAAGCGCACTTTAGCTGATGATGATGATGATGATGATGATAGATACTTTATTGATCCCGAGGGGAAATTCAGGTATCCAGTAGCAACATTAAAACAGACAACAAAGCATGCATACAAAAGTAAACCTAGAGTACAAATTAAAAATCAAAAGAGTACATGTACAGAATAAACAAGTGCATGAATGGAAATACTAGCGTTAGATGCTGGGTACCAGCATCAAATATGCAAATATACAGAGATGTTTACGATGTGCAAATATGTAATACAATACACTATAAAGATAGTAGGAGTCAAAATCCAGGTATTTAAAATGTGTAAAAATGTAATAAAAATACTATAAAGATGATATGAGTCCAGTACAAAGATAAAAATATATAGATGACATGGGACATAAAAGACAGCACTGTTCTCCAATTCTGTGTCCATCAATCTAGAAAGTCCATTAGCAAAAGTCCTGCTCACAGGGAAGAGTTGAAGAGCCCTATAGCCTGAGGGACAAACGACTTCCTCAGTCTGTCTGTAGAGCAGGCCAGGGACAACAGCCTGTCACTGAAGCAGCTCCTCTGCCTGGAAATGGTTTGGTGCAGCTTTGACCCTCAATTCATCACTGACATTCATTTTGTAAGTAATGCACTCAGACTATTACTCAATTACTAATATATATATATATATATATATATATATATATATATAGCCTGTATGTGCATACTTTTTAAAAGTTGCTTTGTTTTGAAGTACATCATGCCATGTCTGAAATAAAGACAGGTCGTGGCGCACAACAAAAGATGAAATTTGATTAGCAAACTGTTCCCATGGGAATCCGATACGCCCACCTCGGTTTCCTGTCTCACGTGTTTGGACACACGGGGGTCGCTTGTCTTCTGCGTCGACCTACTGCGAGGCCTGAAACGTCAATAGCGCTCCGCCTGTAATACATGGATCTTCGATTTAATGCCTCGAAAGGGGGGTGGGGCAGCATTTTTAACCCATGTAACTGCTACTAAACACAGCAGCATACATATATTGAATTAAGTCACAAATATTACATCTTTAGATGATTTAAACGGTACGAGTTATTTTTAATGGCAATGTACATTATTAACTTAGTTCCAAATATGGCTAATAATTTTCCACCCCCACAAGTATGACAGTGGTATCGTCTGTATTCAGTGTTGAAATCCTCCAAGCAGAGCCGAAAAGCAAATTTCGAGTCGATGACCTTTCGATGAGAAAGGAAAAGGCGCATATTGTAAATTTTACAATAGAAATTTATATCTGACACTTGTACATTTTTAGCAATGTCTACTCCAGCACGAAGGCGACTGATGAGGGATTTTAAAAGGTAATTCATAAAAAAAAAAATAAAAAAAAATGAGGAGCTGTTTACTGAGCCCGGATGTACCTTAAAAAGACCTGAATGTGAAGAAACATTAGAAGGGAACTAGTTTGATTGCAGGAAATGTAAAAAAGCTCATGTCGTATCGGCCAGTTTTCATTTTAGTAAAACTGCAGATCTGTTAAATTAATTTTAAAAGGAAAGTTATTTGTTTCGTTTATTTGGACCTTTCTAAATCTAATCTGGCTCCCTTATTTGTTTTGAAACAAACACACCAGACTTCAAGAGGATCCTCCAGCTGGTGTTAGCGGTGCTCCGTCAGAAAACAATATCATGGTATGGAATGCAGTGATATTTGGGTAAGTACTTCTTGTGAGCATGTTTGTGCTGTGGACTAAACCATGTTTAGCATCTTTCCAGGTTCACGTTTCCTTATTCTGAAACCCGAGCATTTTGTCAACACTTCATATGGCATAAAACCGTCCTTTGGTGCTTGTCTTGACTAGTCTATCTGTGTGTTTTCAAGCACTGAAACTAAAAGCAAAAGGTGACGTGGTGGCATTATTGTGGTTATCCAAAATGTGACCACTTTTCATTCTTGTTTTCACAGGCCAGAAGGAACTCCCTTTGAAGATGGTAAATATAAACATTACTTCTTGAGGTCCATAAATTCTAGTAATTTAAGACATGTATTTTGTATTCATGCTTTAAGCCTGTTTTTGTTATAGGTACATTCAAATTGACTGTAGAATTCACAGAAGAATACCCAAACAAACCACCCACAGTCAGATTCATCTCAAAAATGTTTCATCCTAATGGTATGATTTGGTTTTTTGTATGTTGTCATTCACAATCATTAAAATGGCATTTTTATGGCATATGGCATTCTTGACATGATTTAAGGGAATAGTTCACCCCAAAATGAATATTTGCTGAAAATGTACTCACCCTCAAGCCATCCAAGATGTAGCTAGATTAATTTGTTTCTTCTAGGAACAGATTTGGAGAAATTTAGCATTACATCACTTGCTAACCAAGTGGATCCTCTGCAGTGAATGGATGCCATCAGAATGACAGTTCAGACAAGCTGATAAAAACCCACAATAATCCACAAGGAATCCACACGAGTCCAGTGACAGTCCATAAATTAATGTCTTTTCTTTTGAAGTGAATAGTTGTGTGTTTGTAAGAACAAATCCATCATAAAGTTGTTTTGCCTTCAAACCTTTGCTTCTGGCCAAAATATAAGTCCTTTATTGATGATATGGCTTCCTCCAGTGAAAAAGCTGTCTCATCAGAATCAGGAGAGAAATATGCACAGATCAAGTGCAGTTTACAAGAAAAAACATTTCTATACAAACATGTTGGTGGATTTTGACATGAAAGGACAACAGGGGATGGACTTTTTCACTAGAGGAAACATTAGATTGAATTATGGACTTGTATTTTAGTCTGAGGCAGTGGTTTGAAGTTAACATCTTGACAGATTTGTTACAAGCACACAGCTGTTCGCTTCATTAACCATTTACTGATAGACTGGAGTCATGTGGATTATATTTTTATGAACCGTTTTGACTCTCATTCTGATGGCACCCATTCACTGCAGAGGATCCATGGAAGAGCAAGTGATGTCAAACTACATTTCTCCAAATGTGTTCCTATTAAGAAACAAAATAAAGTATATTAAGCAAATTTTCATTTTTGGGTGAACTATTCCATTAACAACACCTTTCTCTTTCAATTATATTATAGTATATGCAGATGGAAGCATATGTCTTGACATCCTACAAAATCGTTGGAGTCCAACTTATGATGTGTCATCAATTCTTACCTCAATCCAGGTAAAATATTGCTTTTTACCATTATAAGTATAAAAGTAAATCAGAACACAGCTTGACTAGCTTGTTTTCCTGTTGGTTTTCCCCCAGTCTTTGCTTGATGAACCAAACCCTAACAGTCCAGCTAACAGCCAAGCAGCTCAACTTTACCAGGAGAACAAACGGGAGTATGAGAAGCATGTGTCCACTATTGTTGAGCAGAGCTGGAGGGACAGCTGACCATACACTGCAGAGCACAGAACTTCGTGTGATTGTAGTTTAGTTGAGTGAATTGTGAGGAAGTTTTTTCTATTTTTTTCCCCCTCTCTGTCTCACACACCACTCTCATACGTTCTAATGCACTTTAATGAAAATCTGTCCTTTTTCTCTTGGAGAACTTGTGCTCAGCCAACATCATCTGGTCATTTTCTGTTCAAAAAGTGACAGACATGGTGTCAGCCCAGAAACCTGGACTATATGATGATATATCCAAGGGCCATTTTTTTTCCCAAGCAGAACTGAATGGACAAGGTGCCAGCCTGCCATCCTTGGACTATCCATGTCCCAATTGGAACTGATGAGCCTGTTATGCTGTTTTTGTGTGTGTTCTGTTAAATGCCTGAAAGTGTGTGGGTTTTTTTTTTCATTCCATGTGTTATTGATTGCCTCGTGTACTATATTATAATAATACACTTTGAATTTCGTGTACAGGATCTGAGTATAATTAGTCTGTTGTCTTTTTGTTTATTTGTTTTAATATGGTCAGGAAAAAAAAACATTTTATCAAAACAAGAATGGTAATTTTAACCACAGAAGAAAAAACATTTTGTTAAATGTCTAAAGGGCAGTACATTTTTCAAACACATTTATTTTAAGGTTTTTATAATAAGATACACCCATACACTAGCTACATGTATGACTGACAATGAAAGCTCATTCACATAAACAATACAACATATCACGACTAAAGATTCATTTCTGTTTCATATGAAATATCCATTTAAATTAAATGCTCTTTAAACAAAACAATAGAAAATAATTTCTGCCTCTCAGAGAGCAGCTGAGTTCAAGCCCTTAGATGGCACTTCATAAGTGATCATCTGAAACGAGCCCCCAGATAAGATGGAAAACAAAGCATAAATCCATATGATCAGTTGTTTGAGGTCAGCCAATATGGGCTACCTGTTATATGCCCTTTCCTTTTTTGCTTTTTCCAAGGCTTTGTCCATGGTTTTCTCTGTGTCTCCCCTACATTTTGGACAATACCACTTCCCTTTGGGTTTGTGATTAAGCCCAACACATGAGAAATGGAACCATTCAATTGGACATTCATCATTATCACACCCAATCATCTCCCCAAATGACACCTGCTCACACAGGCAGTAAGTAGGCTCATTCGGATCAATAGGTATATCTGTATGTGAAGGCTCTCTGTCAGCTTTGGCTTTAGACCTCTTCTTTTTCTTTGAGGTTTTATTCTGCTTCTCCATGACAATGCTGCTGGTCTCTTCATCATAGTGAACTGTAGAGATGTTCTCCTGAGTGTCAATATTACTGTTTTTCTGACGTCTGGAGCGCTTGTTTGCTCCAGAAAGTCTTTCTATTTAACCTCTTTTCGTTTCTCCTCTCTTCTCTTGCTGGGAATAATGGAAGATATGGTAGAAGCTGTCATGCTTTCTTGGGGTTCATGTCGGGTTTCTAGAAGCTCAGCAAGACTGTCCACTTGCCGCCTACGATTCTCCACCATCTGACTAGCAAGTTGGATCTTCTCATCACCCAGTTCCTGACTTCAGATAAGGGCTCTTTGGATACAGTGTAGCAAGCACCTTCGCTGGATGGGGTCCTCTTCATGGCAGTGTTTCTCATATGCCTCGTCTAACTCTTTGATGAGTTCTGAAATTACACAAAAATAGTTATTGTGAATATAATTTAATATTCTGACTTCTGATATGTGTGGTCACATTAGCAAAACTGCACAGGCAAAGAAAAAAAGATCCATTGCCTATTGTCAATAGAGTAGATATGTATGAAGCACAGCTCATATATAAGATACTTTATATTCAAGCAAACTTTCTGTTGTTCAAAGCAGTGAATTAGATTGGATTCCAACTGAAATGACAAAAATGTGTCCAACACAAATTAAGATAAATTTAATGAAACTTGAGAGGGTTCCGTCCCTCCAAAACTAAGATCCAAAAACGCCATAAAAGGTGCCACAAAATTAATCCATGTGAATAAAAGCCTAATTTAAATCTGTTCATCATAAAAAGCAATGATATCTCTTCAAAGGATTTGTGTTAAACTGCCTGATTCATAAGGATTTATTTTACAGTGCCTTAATGACCTTTTTGGATCTTGTACGTTGTGGTTACCTACTTTAATGGATGGACAGAAATCTCTCAGGTTTCATTAAAATATCTTATGTGTTTTGAAAATTAACCAAAGTATTATGGGTTTGAAACAACATGGGTAAGTAATTTATGACAGAATTTCCATTTTTGGGTAAACTATTATTCCAATACTGCACAGCTTCAAATGTACTTAACCTTGAAGTTTATCTTTCAGTATGAAATTTGGCTCCAAGGGCTGGTAAACGCCAATCCCTATTTAAAAATAGCAAATCAAGATCCGCCCACGTAATATTCAAAAACCAATCACACTCTAAAAACTCGCCCGAATGCGACCTAAATGGGCGGACTTAATATGAATTGACAGTTTCGTCCACCAACTGCAGCGCTTTCAAGCCAGTAATGTTTCCCACACAAAACCAATCCAAAACCAAATAAGGTGGAGCGTGTGTGCTACCCAAGCGGCAACCTCCCGCTCTCTCTCGTGAAGCCAACAAGGAAGTGACTTAAACTGTAATTCGTCAACTGGCCGCTAGAGGCTGGCTGCAAAAGGGAGTCAGTCCCATAGACTCACCATGTTAAAATGCCCAACTTTACAGCAGAAAAAAACGTTTACAGCCTGCCAGCCAGCTAATTTTGCCCTTCATGACAACTGTGAGGGGGGTGAATTTTTTATAACTCATCCGTTTAAATGATAGCATTAGGCTACAAGAATAAAGTTACTAAATTGTATTACCGAATTCGTTATTTGGAGTACTGCAGTAACTGTTTTAGTTTTTCAGGTTAGTGTCATGTTAAGGGGTGAATTCCAAACAGAAGTGAGCATCCCTATCAAACTCCGGTCCTGGAGGGCCACTGTCCTGGAGAGCTCCAACCAGCTCCAAAACACCTGTCTGGAAGTTTTTAGTAACCCTGAAGACCTTGATTAGCTGGTTGTGTTTTTAATTAGGCTTGGGGCTAAACCCAGCAGGATAGTGGTCTTCTAGGGCAGAGCTTTGAAGGGTGTAGGACATAGTTGTCTTGTGTAAACGTTTGGACCTCCCTTAGTGAAGGGACTGACTGACCAACGCCGTGTGAGTGTGCAGCCTCCAGCACTACATCAGTTGTTGCAAATAAATATTTATTCATTAAAGTGTCTAATTGTGTCTTATTTCAACTTACTGCAGGTAGTCCCATTTAGATTAAAACATTTTCCTACAAACTAAACTTGCTTACACTTAAGCTTCTTCGTTCATATTTCTATCACTGACAAAAATATTTTGTATTACAAAATAAAGACAAATTGAATTATTCTACTTACATTTTGCTTCAAAATGCATTGCAAGAACTTGTAACCCAAGATCACATGATCACAAACGGAAATCACTTCCTTGAAGAGACCATTGTTTCCCTTCACTGATTGACTTTTGGGCCCTTAGTTCGTAAAGGGATTCGGTTGTTCACTTTCATTTGAAAAGTCCCTACAAATGGCATCCCCTTCCCAAAGTGCTTTTCAATGGCACAAAAAAAGCTTTATGGAATCCGCTTATTGTTATTTGCCTTGCTTTTGAGTGCGTGGCCATGAGTGGGAAGTTGGACAGGCAAACATTTTTTGACGAAAAGTTTACGTATCAGTATATGAATTTTGAAAAAGGACCAAAATCAGAAGTGGTGCTTCACTTGAAGTAGGCAGAAATAATGGATGATTTGACGAAGTGAGCAAATCATACTATGAAATTCCAAGAAGTACGATATAATAAAAGAAAAACATGTGATGAGTTTGATTATGAACAAACATTCAATAGAAATAGAACCAGGAATATAAGGCAAGGTATGGTGAGCAATGGTGGAGAAGGAGAAATCAAAGTTATGATCAAGTTTATAAAACAAGCACATACATCCTGTGAAATTATCAAAAGTGTTAAAAAGAAATAGGGACAGTGAAAGGGGCAGCCTATCTAGGTAATGGAAGAGTCTTGATTAAGTGTTATGTTGAGAACAAAAAGCAAAGGTTCTAAAAGCCATTTGTTAAGTCTGAAAAAGTGTGGGGTAATGTATCTTAATGTGTCTATGGAGGAAATAAAAGGAAACTTGTTTGGAGGTCAGAAGTTGCTCCAGCTTAAAACTGATGACAGAATAATAAAAAATGTCATAATTTTTCTGTGATGATACATTTTGAATACAGTAATCTACTTTTAAAGGTGAGGTTATGTTTAATAAAGTTCTTGTTATGGGAATATGCACCCCCACCTTTGCGTTGTTATGTCAGCACATAGGACACACTGTTGCTGTTTGTGAGGAAAAAGGTGATGTTCAAGATGTGGAGGAGAGCATGAGTATGGGAAATGTCAAACTGAGCTGAAGTGTTGCGGGTGCGGAGGAGAGCATAGCGCTGCGTATGGAGTAGGGCTGCACGATTAATCGCATGCGATATTTAACGCGCATCTTATCAGTAAAGCCGGTTCTGTAATCAGCGGTAAATCTCCATCACCTGCGTGCTTTCACATTGAGCAGCATTAACTACACAGAGCCGTTGTTCACTGATGAGAAGCGCAAAAAATCGCGCGAATATGAACGTGGTTTAGCGCAGCTCGTCAGTGAACAACGGCTCTGTGTAGTTAATGCTGCTCAATGTGAAAGCACGCAGGTGATGGAGATTTACCGCTGATTACAGAACCGGCTTTACTGATAAGATGCGCGTTAAATATCGCATGCGATTAATCGTGCAGCCCTAGTATGGAGGATGTCCCCTATAACAGCAGGCTCATGAAATCTAAAAGGTAGAGTCTTTTTCCGAAACATTTTCCAAAGCATCTTGTCGAGTGAAACATAGAAGCAAAAGTGCAGAATAAACAGGCAAATAGCTCTTAAAGCAATGAATCAGATGAACTCTTCAAGAAATTAATAATCAGATTCAGACAGTATCAAAATGATGAACCTTTTGAGCACATGTACAGTTCGCCGCTCAGTACGGTAGGTGGCGACAGTGCTCCTAAAGAGTAGGTTGCCATTAAACAAGTAATAGTAGAAGAACACCCCACTGCAAAACAACCGAGAGAGTGAGAGAGATCTGTGTATCAATGTGACAGTGTGGCGGTGTTTTGAGACTCTTACCAGTAGCTGAACTTTGACACTGAAAAGAAACAGATCGTGTAGACTCATCGAGGACGTTAGACTATGAACAGATGGCTAAATCTACACGTCATTAATCCAAATCGGAAAACACGCTAAAATCTGTAGAGATATTAATCGTCAAGGTTATGCAACATCTTTATTACTATTATAACCACCAAATGCAGTAAGGTAAAAATGAGGCTTCCTTTAGCATTGATTGCAAATGTAAGACTGCTTAATTCTGGCTTAAGAATCAGGCATTCGATTCATAATGGTGTTCTAAAAACGTCATTGCTGTCCAGTCATAATATATGCAGCAGAGCGGAGAGAAAGTGGATAAAACCCGCGGGGTTTGACACCGGTGTGAAGACTTACAACAGTCTCACCAAGCAGAAAGAACCTCTGGTTTTGGCACAAGAAAGAATTGCTACCTGGTAAGGCACATGGTGGTCCATAACATCAATTGAGATTTTCTTACATGTACATTAACGTTACACGTTCTTCTGTTACTTCCAGGTATAGCTGTGGACCTACTGTTTATGATCATGCCCATCTCGGTCATGCGTGGTAAGTTTTTCTGCTTGATAACTAGATTCAGAACGTTGAAAGAAGCACAGTTTGTTGTAGTGTTATTTTAGTATTATTGAGGTTTTAATTAATATTTTCCATTTAAATTTTAGGTGGTAGGTTTAGTCATTTTTTGTTCTAGTAGCTGATTACATGTAATCTTGATTATGCAATCAGATTCTAAAAATAGTACCTGTAAATAAGTACCTGTAATTAGACTATATTACTTTTTTACTTATTCATCCGATTTTTTTCTTCCTTGCATGCAGCTCATATGTCAGATTTGACATTCTGCAAAGGATCTTATCCAGAATTTTTGAAATTAATGTCATCCACGTCATGGTCATCACTGACATTGATGATAAAATAATACAAAGAAGCCTTGAGGTAAGTGTCAACTGATAATAATATATTGTTTAACTTCTGTTTCAGTAAATACAAGATCAGTCATTTATGTGGAAGAATGTAAATATTTAGCAATTTTAAGACATGTAGAAGTTTTTATTTTATATATTTTGCAGCAGAACATCTCGCCCACTGTCCTAGCAAGAATGCATGAGGAAGAGTTTAAGAGGGACATGCAAGCACTGCGGGTAAATCACCACACTTGGTTGTTTGGGGTTTATCTTGTCTAAAATATTGACACATATTTGACGGATCTTTGTTCATTTGTCCAGGTTCTTCCTCCAGCTGTATACATGAGGGTGACAGACAACATACCCCAGATTGTAGCTTTTATAAAGCGTATTATCGGAAATGGACATGCCTATGTCACAAGTCAAGGTGCCACTCTCTATTTTGTTGACACTTAAGGCTGATTTATACTTCTGCGTCAGACCTACGCCGTAGCTTACGCATAAACGCACACCCATACGGCGTAGCCTGAAGTGCACCTCTCCAAAAATCTAACAGCGCGTCAATTCTATGCAGACCGCAAGTGCTGTGATTGGTCTGCAAGAACCCCTCCCTCCATATGTACTTGAGTTTTGTGTGTGTTTATGTGCACTTTAATATTTCAGTTCAAGGCTTTCTTGTTTAATTTTTTCCCCAAAAGTGAATAGAAGATGAAACTGAATGTTCAGTATTATTTGTTGATCCAGGCAATGTCTACTTTGACACTCAGTCAATTGGTAACCGCTATGGCAAGCTTGTGAACCTCGGAGGGATTGTTGGGGAGCTGGGTATGTTTATGATATTTTGTTTTCCTTGGAGATCTTCATCAATAACAGTAAATGTTAATAGTTTCCTCAGTCTTTAAGCACACGTTTTTCCACTGCACATTTATGATAAAAAAATGTTATTGGGCTAACTTGAATAATTAACTAAAATCATATTACTGTTAATATATGCCATGTCTGTAGTTAAGAGAAGTCCATTTTTCATAATTAAAATGTATTAGAAGCTAACCTAAATAATGTTGAGTAATTAACAGTTTCTTGTATTTTAGGGGCTCAGGATAAAAGAGATCCAAGGGATTTTGCTCTGTGGAAAGCATCCAAACCACATGAACCTCATTGGGAATCACCTTGGGGACAAGGAAGACCTGGGTGGCACATTGAATGTTCTACAATTGCTAGGTATTTACTCTGTCGAATATCACCAAATATCACTGTATGTTGGTATTTGTTTTGCATTGCTTTGATGTTTTCTGATTTTGAATGGATGTCAATGGTACATTTACTCTGTGTATACATAGTTTAAGGCAGTAGCTTGAAGAAATGTATCCACTGTTCATACAGAATCACAACATAATGGCGGTTTACACCATTGTAAGTTAAGAAAGTTTTCACTAGGTCTTTAAGCCTTGTTTGGGTGATAATTATTTATGTGTACGTCTATGTCATTTCAACATTTAGAGGGGCTAGTCAGTGATTTCATTGCTGTCCAAATCCAGAATGTTTTTTTTTCTCTGCAAGACTTACTGTTTTTTGACACCAAAAATGGTGAGGTAGTTTATTGCAGTTTTAATTGCTTAATACACTTCTGGCTCAAATCCAAAAGTGGTTTTGTAAAACCTTTTTGATCACTGCCATGCCAATAACTGTTGCGCTTCGTGGTGCATGCTTTGTCAATATTGGAGACTTTTATTACTGGAATGCTGAAAGTTGTTTACAAGAAGAGTTCACATATCCATGTTAATACATGTGAACTTTTGAAATTGGCCTTTGTGGCAGCAGGCATGTAATCAATTAAAAAAATGTTTTTTTATATAGATTAGGGCTTGCACGACTAATTTTACTGGTTGGTTAAATAGTTAAAATGTTTGCCTTATGTAAATAATAGGTTATTTCTGCTAATTTAAATTTTTTTTTTAAATAACTTGCATAATTTTGAGAGTTAAAATGTAAGAAAACCATTTAAACAATCAGTTTTCTTTTTTTTTTATTTTAAATTGGATATTAAAATGAATACATAATACATAAATATGATATTATTTTCCTATAATTAAATTTGTCATCATGTTAAACGTGTGACTGACCACATGAGACATGCATTTCCAGGTTTTGTAGGATCACAGAACTCACTCACTGAATAAATGGTTATCTGAACGCTTGAGTTTTATTGCTTAGGAGCCATGCAAACATGTATTTTTACAGATGTAGGTATAAAACAAAAAAAAGAAGTGACAAGCCCCTTTTTATGGATGAGGAATGGATGTCTAGGGATGGATAGCAGATGTAACAGTATTGCCCATTTATTAAAGGCAACAGAAAAGTACATTTATCATACCACATTGGAATGTATTATAAAATCTTACCCCATCAAAGAAAATATGAAACAGAATCATATAATGAAATGATAACATCCATAAACACTTGTTTGCTCTTATCTGCAGTTCAGTGTTTGGAAGTCAGTTGGACATCCACTCTGGAGGAATTGACCTTGCCTTCCCACATCATGAGAATGAGATTGCCCAGTCTGAGGCGTATCATCAGTGTGAACAATGGGGGAACTACTTCCTGCACTCCGGTAATGCCCTTAGTCTTCTGGTTTAAGTAGTATTAGTTGTAAAATTATAGGTTGCATACTGTAACAGAATCTGTGAAAATGTAGTTTTATTGTTGCTGACTTGGAAGAAAATGTAATAAAAACGTTGTTTTCAAGGGCACCTTCATTTGAAAGGAAGCGTAGAGAAGATGTCAAAATCCTTGAAGAATTATGTAACTATAAAGGTAACAAGTTATACTGATATATAAGTGTAAAATTATGTGTTATATTATTAATACATTATAGTGTTTTTAAATGTAACTCTCTTCATAATCTAGGATTTTCTGAAATCTTACACTGCTAATGAATTTCGACTTTTCTGCCTTCTGACCAGATACAGATCAGGTATGTGTTTCATGCTGAAAGGGACTCCTGAAAGTAATACTCCCGGAATTTTGCAGCAAATAAGGGCAGATATTTTACATTTACTGTGGGTCTTTTAAACCTTCCAGCAATCGACTATAGTGATGCAAGCATGAATGAAGCCCGATCTACCCTGTCCACCATCTCTGCCTTCTGCCACAATGCACAGGCCTACATGCAGGGCCACTTACAGTGCCAGCCTACAGAGGAGGGAATTCTCTGGGAGAGGTAAAGACAGATCACATTCATGGTCTAATATACATTTTGAAGGTAGCGTGCAGAGACTGATATAATGAGCTGTGTGTCATGCAAAGGATTTAAATCCAGTTTTGTGGTCTGTATGTGCTTTACACTCAATGAAAAATAAAAAAAGTAGTCAAAACTGGTTTTACAGATAAATACATCCCTTAATTTGACCTGTAACCTTGTGTCTCCTGTGATAAAACTTTCCACCATCTTTGATAATTACTTACACTATCAATATGGTTCTGGTGTTATTCACAGCTATAGTTAGAATAGAAAAGAGGCTTGACTCAATGAACAGAATCATACCTCATAATAAATATGTTTATACTTCCCAAAGATTTGACTGTGAATGTAGCCTAGAAGAGCTGATGTCTCCAACTTCTTTTTGTCTCCTCTGTCTTTGTTTGGTCAAGGTTGTCTGCTACACAGTCCAGTGTTCGGAAAGCACTCGCTGATGATTTTGACACCCCAAAAACTGTGGATGCCATTATGAGCCTCATTCACCATGGCAACTGTCAGCTTCAGCCTGCTACTAAGGTAACATCATAGGGTAGGTCACTGAGGCCTCACTTTCTTGTCATTATACAAAATTGTACATTTTAAATTGTACATCTTTAATTAGATGTTTTATATTTATATTTGTTAGTCAAAGATGAAAAATAATGTGTTTGAAGGTTGATGGGCAGAGGAGTGCTGCTGTATTTGGAGCCATGCTGTCCTATGTCAGGGAAATCATGGGTGTTTTTGGAGTTGATCTGTTGGACAGAAAGGTAAAAGATCAAACATTAAAACTAATGTATGTATTTTTATGTTAAAATACTTCACCTAATCCTAGTGTAATTTAAAGGGGTCATATGATGCGATTTCAAGTTTTCCTTTCTCTTTGGAGTGTTACTTGCGCGCGCGCACGTGTGTGTGTGTGTGAGAGAGAGAGAGAGACAGCGTCACATCACAGTAGAGTCAGCTGTCTTAACCGCGGCTTGTGTACTGCATCATTACTGTGTCTGTTCCCCTTTCGGGCTTGAACTGATGGTAAAACTAATGACATTATTTACTGTCTTTACATTTATTTTGAAAGATGAAGCTCGCGATTATGGTAAGGGGCGTTACATTTCCGATGAGTGCTTGCGGTGTTCGGCCAATCACAATGCACTGGGTCAGCTGGCCAATCAGAGCAGACTGCACTTGTCGGAAGGAGGGACTTTGTAGAAAACTAAGCGTTTGAGAGAGGCGGGGCATATAGGACCTACAATAATGTACAGTATTTGAAAAATAATGTGTTTTTTGAACATTAAAGCATGTCAACATATTCTGTTACACCAAATACACAAAATAATGATCTTTAAAAAGGCATCATATGACCCCTTTAATATTCAGTGATGTACAGAAGCAGGCCTGCCTGCTTGACCAAACAGTGGTGCATGAGGGTAATATTCTTAACTCATTTTGAAATGGTCATTATTAGCAATTCCACTCTGTGGCACAGGAATTTCACAAAGCAGCTTTAAAGATGGATGAATAGATGGAAGGAAGAAAATAAATTAAACCATTTATATTCAATAGGCAATAGATATTGTTGATTGCAAGATACTTTGGCTTTCAAAAATAACTTTTTTTTTATTTTTAAAGATGAATTGTTTGCCATTTTTGCCAAATTTTAGACAGATCAGAGCCGACAGGAAGCGAAGTGGGAGAGAGATGGGTGGGGGGGGTCCTCGAGCCAGGATTCGAACTTGGAACGCCTGTAGCACAACAATGCTATATGTCGGCGTGCTGCCCACAAGGCTATCGGTGCCATCTCAATAATAATTTCTGTAATGATCAGATATAGGAAGTACATCAGGGTCGGAAATTAATGGGCACTTGGGGCAAAAATGGCACCAAGATTTAATATGTTATCATTTTAATATTCTCTCATAATTTTGCCTATACATTGAAAGTCTGTGCAACCAAAATTTTTAAACTTCAAAAATTACATAAAGAAATCATAAAAGTAATGGAATTGAGTTGAGGCTTATGGAATGACTCAAGATCAGATTTAAATACAGGCTTTTATTCACACATAACCATTGTTTAAAGGTGACATATCATGAAAATCTGACTTTTCCAGGTTTTAAGTGCTATAATCAGGTCCCCGGTGCATCTACCAACCAAGGAAACGTGAAAAAGATTAACTCAGTAACTTTGTTTTGGTAGCCTTTTTCTGCAAGCGTCTGAAAAAACGAGCGCGTCAGATTTTGCTCCCTTGGTGAGGTGGCAAAGGGATCTCAATATAATATTACCACCCCTTAATCTGCACGTTTCCACCCATGGCACCGTTATTTTGATTTCGCAAGCGATAACGTTGTACCAGCTCTAATGCCATGGCGAAAGTTTGAGCAAAACATGCTATTGCTAACTGTTCTGCCTTTGGCTGCACAGAGACGAGCACAGAACACTGTTTAGAGTCCCAGCCTCAGAGGAGACAAATCTGGAAAAGAGGGCGGGGAGCAGCAGCTCAATTGCATTTAAAGAGACAGGCACGAAAAACAGCGTGTTTCTGCTTCCACTCAAAATAGGCATTTTCAAAATGTTATAATAAATGATCTGTGGAGTATTTTGAGCTGAAACTTCACAGACATATTCTGGGGACACCAGAGACTTATATTACATGTTGTAAAAAGGGGCATAAAATGTCTCCTTTAAAGCACATACATCGAGCACATCAAATATGGTAAACAGAAGCTCAACCATTGTGTGAGAACAGACCTCATTGGTTGTCACAAGTCAAGCATGAGAGCTTCTTTTTATCTTTTTTTGTGGCATGTGATCAGTTGTGTAGCCATTACACTGGCTACGTTTACATGCAACCAAATAATCCGTTTGTAATCGGATCGACGGCTCAATCGGACTGAAAAGCCTTCATGTAAACACCTTAAAGGTCCCATATTGTCAAAACTGAAATTTCCTGGCTTTTTTCGAGATAACTGAGGTCTAGGTGCTATGTAACTACCATATAAGTTTCAAAACAGTCAATCCACAATCAAATGCACACAGCCTGCATAAAGTAGCGGTGATTTTTCACGAACCGTTGTGACTTCCGTAAAAAGGTGACATCAGAACTACACAGTCACCGCCTTCAAGAGAGGCTCATGATTATTAATTAGACAGGCCAAAATCGACTTGTTCTCAGCAGAGCTCCTGAGAAAGAAATATATTGAGATGGTTTTTGGTACTTATACCGCAAATATATATTCTTAAGGACATCAAGGACATCAATAAA